TGCAGGCCGCGGTGCTGTCTTCCAAATAAACCCGAGCAGCTGCGTGCGTGGCTTGGAGGTCCGCGATGAGGTCGGCAGCCCGTCGATCTGTCGCCGCCAAAGAAGGAAGGACCAACAAGTTGGACGGCCCACGAGGTTGCACTGCGTAAACCGTCTGAAAAGGAGAAAATCTGGTGGCACGACTGATGGCCGAGTTATGAGCAAACTCGGCCTGGCTAAGGCGCTAGTCCCAACAACGAAGGTTATCCCCGACGAGACAACAAAGCAGGTTACCCAACGATCTATTCACGACCTCCGTTTGCCCATCCGTTTGTGGATGATAAGCGCCGCTAAAATCCAACCGTGTATTGGCCATACGCCATAGGCTCTGCCAGAAATAGCTCAAGAAACGAGTATCACGGTAAGAAATAATCGAAGACGGCAACCCATGGAGGCGGTACACCTCGCGAAAAAATAACTGGGCCACGTGAAGAGCATCAATGGTCCGTTTGCAAGGGACAAAATGTACCATCTTCGAAAACCGATCCACAATCACGAAGATAGAATCAAACCCACGTTGAGTACGTGGTAAACCCAAAAAAAAATCCATGTTTACCACACACCATGGCTGAGAAGGAATGGGCAACGGCCAACAAAGACCCGCATTAGAGGCCACGCCCTTCGAGACCTGACAAACCCGACAACGACTCACAAATCAAGCCACATCCCAACGAAACGACGTCCAATAATAGGAGCGACAAACCAACTCAACCGATCTGTCCCGGCCCACGTGACCGACCCCATGCAGTTCCGCGATAAGCCGGTGCCGGAGACTACCGTCTAGAATGCACAGTCGAACACCACGAAAAAGAAAGTCGTCCGTAAGAGAGTAGTCGTCACACGGGTCCGTCTGGAGGCGGCTGTGAATGGGCCCAAAAAATGGGTCAGACGCATAACTATCACGCAGCACATCAAAGCCTCCCACAGCAATCCGCATATCAGTCAAAAGAAGAGTACGACGGCTCAAAGCATCAACCACCCTATTCGACACTCCCGACCTATGGTGCAAAACAAACGTGAACTGTTGAAGGAAGGTCGTCCAAGATGCATGCCGAGCAGAAATATTGTCCTGGGTCGCCAAGTGTCGTAATGCCTCATGGTCAGTATAGAGTATGAATTCCCTATGAAAAAAGATAATGCCGGCAGTGCTGAACTGCCCGAACCACAACATAGAACTCCACGTCATATGTGCTGTAACGAACACGTGGACCCAATAATTTCTCGCTAAAGAACGAGAGTGGGCGACCCTCTTAACTAAGAACACTGCCAATGCCCACTTTCAAGGCGTCACACGAAAGCTCAAACGCCTTGGAAAAGTCAGGTAAGACGAGCACAAGAGCAGAGGTCAACCGACCCTTAATCTCAGCAAATGCAGCCTCAGCAGCCGGAGTCCACACAAAAGATGAGCCAGTGAGGTAATCAGTGATTGGATCCGTAATGGTACTGAAGTGGGAAATAAAGCGCCGGTAGAATGAGGCGAGCCCGTGTAACTACGAGCCTCAGTAAACATAGTCGGGGTAGGCCAGTCACGAATAGCGGTCACTTTGCTATCATCAACTCGAATACCCTCAGCTGAAATCAAAAAGCCCAAAAACAAAACATAAGGCACCATAAAACAACACTTACGAGGAGTAGCAAAGAACGCTTCAGCCCGCAGTACCAGTAAAACTGACCGTACATGCTGGAGATGCTCCTCCACCGAATGACTGTATACAAGAATTTCGTCGAAATAAACGACAACACACTTACCGATAAACTCCTGAAGAGACTGGTTCATCACTCCCATGAATGTGCTAGGCGCGTTTGACAAGCCGAATGGTATCACCAACCAGTCGAATAAACCCTCACGAATCTTGAAAGTCGTCTTCCACTCGTCACCGGGATGAATACGAATTGATGATAGCCGCTACAGTGATCTAACTTAGTGAAAACCGACGCCCCATGAATTTGGTCTAGTAAATCATCCAACCGTGGGATTGGAAAACGGTACCGAATAGTAACCTTGTTAATGGCCCGGCTATCAACACACATACGCCACATTCTATCCTTCTTCGGAATAAGAAGGGTCGGAACCGCACAAGGGCTCATACTCTTACGAACCACGCCCCATTAAAAGAAGCCCTCGACCTGGCGTCTCAGTTCTTCGTGCTCTGTCAGGCTTATGCGATAATAAGGACGATTTGGAAGAGATGCCCCTGGGACCAGATCAATGTGATGTTGAATGCCGCGAAGAGGTGGTAATCCTGAAGGAATCTCGGAAGGGAAGACATCCTCAAACTCGGTCAATAAAGGTTGAATAGCCGCCGGTGGCGACTGGTCCTCCACTGTGTCTCGACCCACAACCAACAGAACCATCGGTGAGACACGCATCTCAGCCAAAAACGTCGACCGGGAGAGAGTAAGAACTGATGAAGATGGGCTCGTCGTCGGAGATGGGCGAGGTAGAGAAGGTTGCAAGACGATCCTCACTCCCTTGAAAGAGAACGAATAAGTGTTGAGTCGACCGTCATGCGTGGCAGCTCTATCGAATTGCCACGGGCGTCCCAACAGTAAATGGCAGGCATCCATTGGGACCACGTCGCACCAAATTTGATCACGATATCTTGGGCCCACCGAAAAAGAAACCAGCACACGACGGTCGACAGTGATCGCATTACCCCGCTGAATCCATGCTGGTGTATACGGCTGAGGATGTGGAATAGTAGACAGCTGTAATTTGTCCATGGCCTCCTGAGCGATGACATTCTCACAGGAGCCCGAGTCGATAATGAATCGACAGACCTTGCCACCGACCGTACAAGTTGACTCAAACAAATGATGGCGTTCCACTGGTGAGTCCGCACCCTATGGCGCCAGGCAGGCTCTCCGAAGGACCAAGGCGGTACCCACATCGCCGAGTATGATCTCCTCCACCTCACCAGGCTCCATGTCATATGTCGGCGGTCCTTCATATTCTCCACCGTAGGAATAATCAGTCATCTCCTCTGAAAATAATGCCCGAGTACCAGGACCTCTCTGTCATATCGATTGGCGGTGCCCGAGCTTGCCGCACCCAAAACACTGCAAGCCGGCGACCATACGTGCTGCAGCCACGGACTGATGCGGTCCTCCCATCCCGCCGGTCCACTAGGGGTTCCGCCGGAGGCTGAAAGACGCCCACTCGCGGAGTCCCAGACGTGTGAATGGAGGGCCAACTCCCGTTGCAGGCCCCGAACGCGAAGAAGAAGATCCCAACTGCCCCGGTTTTTGCGTCATTTGGAATTCAATGAGAACGGCTCATTGATGAGCATCCGATACGGACTCGGGACGGAACATGTTCAGCATATCACGGATCCCCGTACGTAAACCACCCACATAACGTGAAACCAGCTAATTCTTCGTCGCACCCAAGTCGAAACGAGTCAAAAGCCGATGGAACTCGGTCGTATATTCATTCACCGAGCGAGTCCCTTGGCATAAATTTTGAAGCTGTTGATAAAAAAGGCTATCAAAGTTGAAGGGTACAAACTCACGCTCTAAAAGCTCGCGAAATTTAACCCAAGATGAAAATGGTTGTTTCCATTGACGATGCAGCAAGCTGCTAAGATTCATCCACCAAACTGCCGCTCGACCCCGAAAACGTGTGGCGACTAATGCTGCACGTTGCTCCTCCGGGACCTCCTTAAAAATGAGGGCGGCCTCAACCGCAGCCTACCAGTCGATAAATTCGGACCCATCTACCCCGCCATCGAACTAGGGGATCTCCACACGAAACCCTTGCTCCCAACGTGACTCATCGCCCCCTTCTATCGGACGCCTGCCGTCACGTCGGTTCACCACACCCTGCTCATACCCGTCGCGATCACGTAACCATGCCCGCCGCTGCTGGTCGAAGTCCCAGTCATCATCATCTTTGAAATGATGACCGCCGTCGCCGAACCCTAGACGAACGGGACACCAATCTCCGTCGTCATCCTCCTCCGCTCGACCTCGCACAAAACGGTCCTCACAACATCGCATATCGCTTCCGCCAAAGCCGCGAGGGTAACGCATGCCGTCGTTATCTCTCTGCCGAAGGCATTCGTCATCTGCCGGTCGCCGTCGCTGTCCTCCAGCGAACGGGTTCTCTTCAATGACGGTGTCCTCCTCATCGCCGGACGGAGTCCCTCGGGAACGCCGGCGGGGCGCCCCGCCATAGCCACACCCTCCACGGCCTCGCGAAGCCCCCCCGCGCTCGGCCCGGTCGCCACCGTCGCGTCTCGCATAAGTCTCCTCCATCAAGGTGGTCATGGCCTGGCGAATCTCCTCGATCCCCGACAAGAGGTCCGTAAATCAGTCGTCCACTCCTTGGAATCGCTCTTCTATTCGTTGGAAACGATCATCAATGTTATCTCTCTTGGGCGGCATCGTGGATCGTCGTTGGTCTTTGGATACCAACTGATGTAGAGCGTAATACAATTGGGGACAAAATGAGATACTCTCTCAAGAACGAACAATCAGAAATTTCAATTCATCAATTATCTGTCTTTTCTGTTCGCTACCCACAAATCATCAATTATCTGTCTTTTCTGTTCGCTACCCACAAATAAATAAAAGGAAAAGAGTCTTATTCTAGTATCTTGCCTAACAGATTACAAGATATTTATTTTAATTACCTAAAATAAAAAGAAATAACATAATAAGAAAATTAATAATAAACGACTTAAACTCGAAGCATGTCGTATTTATTCAAAAAGGCGATCGCGGTCTCGTCTCCATCAGTTATATGAGCAAAAATAAAGTAAATCATTGGCTTCAACATAAGTTTGGCGAGCTTACAAACAATAGCCAAGCATAAGTTTTTGTACACATGCCTTAGGATAGATAAATGAGCTTACATTATTCAAACTTAAGCCTACATATTACAAGAGGAGTGAATTTTAACGATTTATTGACTAATTGAAGAATCTTGAAATAAATCCCGCACGCGTATAACATCAAACTCAGACGGCATTATTATCGATAGCTGTCTGGACAGCGGACATAGTGTCGAAGATTTCAATCCAATAGCCATCAGGATCCTGGATAAATGCTACCAAGTCCCTGTTTCCTGATAAATGACAAACACAAGAAAGATTGGTAAAATACATATATATTGCATTGTGAAGGATTTCGTATAAGAATTATAAGTATCTAAAGTTTACCGCTGCGAATTCGCTGTACAAATCGCACTCCCAAACTTTCGAACCTATTGATTGCTTTTTGCACGTTGTCTACGTTTATGCCTATGTGCCCTGCAGAAGAGATCATATTAATTACATGTTCAAGTCTTGCAAACATGTATATTAGCCGAGCATGCCATCATCGTCATCATATCCGAGATAGAAATATGAGGTGAAAAAAAAAGGAAGACTTTTACATACCATAACCAAGTGGTTCTGTGTTTCCATTGTGATAACCTGTGAAATTACGGTTCGTTTCTGTGCCCCACATGCTGTCACAAACGATGCCGATTAAAATTCATGATTTTTGTTTTCTCACTACGTTAATTTTTTTTTCCTTGCAAAAGAAAGAAGTTAAATAGCTAGCTCTTACTGTGTAAGCTCGATTACACCTCTCTGACTGAAAGCCCAAGCCGTACGCCTGAGAGGATCATTTGGGGCCCTTGATGTGTCCTAAGGATAACAAACAATTTTACACAATCATTATTATATAGGTTAGATTAGTTATAAATTATTAGTCGGCAACTTAAGGGTACGTATTTCGTTCAATATATATCGCATGTAATATTTTGTAACATTTCACCTCGTATCCCATGTAGTAGTTGCTAAACCGCAGGTCTGCGAAATCGAGCCTTTTAAGCAACCTACAATGGCCATAATATAGCTTTTATACGTCTAGTCTATATATATCCACAGAGTGTTAAACGTACGATCTAATTATTAAATTTTCAACCTGCAATTATTAAATTTTTAAAGAGAACAACTTAAGAAGATCACTTACGACATGCCCATAATCCTTGAGTAGAAATCGAGACTCGCTCTTGGGTCCTTTATCCGAACCATCTGAAATTAATATTGAACAAACGAACAAATGTCTCTGTCAGAAAGACACTTTATATATATTTTGTAAATATGTGAGAGCTAAAACATGCATGCTCGAAAAGAACACCAAATTGTTTTATACCAAAATATGTCTCAAAAACATTAGAAACTAATTAAGCTCACAGTATGATGGAAGAAATAGCTTTTAGTAGCTCTCTCGACAAAAGTTTGGAGTCCAGGGTTGTTCTTCGCCGATTCTTTGAACGATTGTGCCAAGGCGCTAGTTAATAATGTCGACCCGAGCAATAATAAACAAACTAATATCATAAACAACCGCATTTTTTCTTATTCAAGAAAAATATGTTGTTTATATATATGATTTATATATATATATATATTCCTTATAGGGAGGTGATTAAGTATCACAAGGATGAGGTTTAAATTTTTCAACGTTGGATGATATTAAAGCTCTGTAAAATGTGTGCGTATTTATACTACCAGAAATTGGCAATTGCACTGTTGTTAATGGCTTGACTTTTACCGGTTCCCATATGAAAAAAAATGAAAGCTTGGTCAACAGTGAACTAAAAATGAAACCGTGGTATATATAATATTGGGGAAGGTGGTTCCGTTGATCCCGTGACGGGATTGTAGCATTCTCCTATAATATTTATTCAAATAAAAAACCATTCTTATATAATGAAATTTCAACAAGTGCATGAATAAAAAAGTAAAATAAAATACGACAACCTGTTGTAATAATATGGATATTTTCTGAAATATATGTTCATGTATTATTATATATGTTCTATTGTAACTATTTTAGTATTTTAATAGAAAAATTGATATAAATAAAATATATAATTAGTAGCTGGATTAAAAGGTCACAATTTTTTCATTTTTCATTTTTCACTTCAAAAAATGGCTAAAAAACCGCCCGACTGTTTTTTATTTGTTTGGTCTACGAACTTCATCAGTTTTCAAAAATGCTCCGCTATATATTTGACTTTCATAAAATTTAGTTTATTGACTAAGTTGTTCAATTTATTAAATGTGATTTAAATTATGTGCCATGTTTGATGTCAGCGAGCAGTTTTCAAAAATGCTACACTATATATTTGACAATTATAAAATTTAGATTATTGGCTGAGTTGTTCAATTGATTCAAGATGATTTAACTTATTATGGGCTTGTAGCAAAATTAAAAGTAAATTCACGCATTAAAAAAGTTAATAGAAAAAATATAGAATTAAATATTGTCTTATTACCACTTATATATAAAATTTCGTTTTATTTGTTTAAGTTTACATTAATCTTGATAGGTATTTGTAAAATTAATAAATCTGCATAAAGCGTAGATGTGTTAAACGTACAAAATTTCTTTTAACGGTAACAACTTATAAAAAAAAATAATAAGAAATACTGTCATAATTCTCGGTATCATGTCATTATT